GATTCAGTCTTCACAGCCCGGTGCAGGCGTACAACTTTGTTTCTGGTGTCCTTCGACGGCTCTTTGGTCTTGGCCATAGTGGAGTTTGGAGTGTGACTGTTTAAGGTTGTGGACAGGTGTCTTTTATACTCTTTATACGAGTTAAAATAGGTGCCATTAATACAGGTAACGCGTGGAGGACAGAGGAGCCTCTTAAAGAAGAAGTTACAGGTCTGTGAGAGCCAGACATCTTGCTTGTTTGTAGGTGACCAAATACTTATTTTCCACCATAATTTGCAAATAAATTCTTAAAAAATCAGACAATATGATCTTCTGGATTTTTTCTCGTCATTTTGTCTCTCATAGTTGAGGTTTACTTATGGTGAAAATGACAGGCATCTGTCATCTTTTTAAGTGGGAGAACTTGCACAATTGGTGGCTGACTAAATACTTTTTTGCCCCACTGTATGTAACCTTGGGATTTAGACATAATTTGGATAATCTGTAAAAAATTGGTTTCATCATCTAAGGGGAACTTACTTTAATCTTTGGCACAGGAACTGGCACAAAGATAATCAGCTATAGCTTGTGTTTTAGGATAGCATGATGAGGTGTTGTGCATTACTGCCTCAAAAAGAATGACATGGCTTATAGAAAGTTCTAAGTTCTTGTCCTCATCTTTTTTTTCTTAATGGGGATTGGCATGTTTGTGACAAACTAGTGCACAAAAGAATAGAAACAGCTACACTATCCTCAATATATCCATGTGCAGTTACAGACTGTAATTATATGAATATAACGGAATAAAACTAGGTAAAAACCGACGGCAGTATTAAATTGAATATGTTGAAAAAAGACCTTTCACATGAACATCCTACAGTTTACAGAAACTGGGAATTGCTGAATGTATGGGAATCGCATTTTATATCAAAGTACTGTTGGTTAAATAGATCCTTTTTTCATTAAAAGTCTGTTTTACTAAGATGAGAAAGCACTTAATCTACGAAAATAACCTAAATTAATACAAAAAATATTGTTTCTGATTACCATTATCTTTTTGGCATCGTTTCCATGGAGCTAAGGAGAAGAGGTTGTTTTCTTCTGCTACAAAAACGTACATTTTGACAAATGTGAACAAGATAGCTTAAACGCTTTAATTGAAAACCGTCTAAATGGGGTCATTTGTTTTTTCATAAATCGATTCCACTGAAATAAACAGCAATAATTGGCGGGCACGAACCAGCTAAGTAGATGGATAAATTTATCTACAGAGCCCCATTAAACAGGGTTATTAAAGGGTGTGTGTGTGTGCAACCATCTGTCTTTAACAGGGTGTAGAGCACTAAGGAATGGTGATATGTGCTGTGCAGCTCTTTATGAATCATGTGACATTCCACACGTAGTGATTAGTGCCAAATTATGGTCTAGGCAGGGAAATTAAACGAAGTGCTTGCAGATGCCTGTCAATCCAAGCACTCCCAACCTTTAATCCCCAAAAGTACGATTTAACAACTTTGGAGCATATTGTTTCTGCGTCATAAAATGGGCCTTTTAGAGCTGCGAACAAATTAGCCCACAACAACTCCAATTTAAGTCCAAAAAAGGATAAACAGGAACAATTTGAAAATAAAAGAGAGAGACCAAAAATATGCATGTGATTTCAAAATGGGGATGTCAACAGGTGCCAAAGCAGCATCCATGTGAACCTGAGGATTTAAGGAACAGAGGTGGGCAGCGTTGTCTACAAGTTTGTGAGAAAATAAATCAAACGTTTACGTGATTTTGCTGGATCTGAAGTACGTGAAGAGCAAGGGGTTCAGTCTGGTCTCTCAGGTGTCCGGGATTGAAGCATCACACAGTGGAAATAAGATTGGACCCATCAGTAGCACAGGTCTTTCTAAAAGGAGATGGACAGTATGAACTTCCTTATTTGGCTTAAAAGACCACCAGGAAGACCCACACTGTTAATTTCCAAAAACCGGGCTCTGGTGGTACGTTATTGCGTCACTTACCTCAGCAAAAGTTAATTGACACCTCTGTGATGGCAGCTGTGGTCTGGATAATTCTATGAAAAACGCTGGTAGTTTAGTCCCCATTATATAATGCCCTTGGGCAAGAAACTGAACCCAGCATCAGATTTAATATGTTAACTGGTTTTTCATTATAAATTAAAAAGCTCTGCTTATTTCTTTTTTTTTTTAACCAAATGAAAAAAGTACAAACCCAAGAAGGTGTTGGGGGGGTACTCGAATGGCTCTAAAAAGTGCTATGACAGTTAAAATTCACATTTTCTGAAAGAAGACTGCAACATTTTCAATTTGTTATCCCCTCTGTTGCAGGTCTGAAATTCAAAGTCCTGGGTTCATTCTGTTTGCCGCAAAGGAAAAGATAGAGTAAGAATTACTGCTTTTTTGTTGGTTTTTTAACTGTTTCTCAATTTCCTCTTTAATAATTTTCTCCCCGTTTCCTATTGCTTCCTCAACTTTTGTGACTAGGGTCATGAAAAAAATAAATAAACAAACATCTGGTCTTAAACGTGAACCCTTCTCTTACCATTAAAATGAATTCTCAAGTTGCATGATTGTTTTTCCTCGTAATTCTTTGCCGATTTGGGATTTATTACACCACCACAGAAACCCCCCCCACCAGCCCCGGTGCTGTAAATCAGAGGAGAGAAGACCTTCACCTTTTTGAGCCGCGTGTCGTCAGGTCTGGGGCTGGAGCAAGATGCTCTGTGGGTGCACTGATAATACGTGCTGTAAACATTATGACCAACGAGTCTGGCTGCTGGAAGAGAGCTAAATATTATCTCAGGCCTACCTGGAAAGACATAAAAACTGTTTACAGTGACACAGCCAAAACTGAGGGGGAGGAGGACGGAAACTGAAGTCCTTCGTCTTTGATGTGGATTAGTCAGCACAGTTTATGAGGTCACTACTAAATAAGCACAAAAGTTAAACAGATAGTGGTGTTAATTGCACAGTGGGGGTAAAATAACTCCCAAAAAACAGTCTGTAAACAGGAGAACCAGTCTGGAAGTATTTACACAGGCTGGCCCCAGCTGTTTGGTGTTGCTCTTGTGGTTCAGTATTCATTTACAGTAAACCCACACTTGTATACACATGTTTTTTTTTGGACCGCACCAGATTGGGGAACAAACTTGGATCCATCTTGTGACCTGAGTTCAGCTGAGTTGCATCCCTTATGAGCGCATCATCACGGGTTGGACTCGGAGAAGACATGGAGCTGAGCGTTGGAGCGCTTGAACGCATCGGATGGTACCAGGTAAAGGGTGGTGTGTGATGGGAGGGGGTTAAACAATCCCCTGGGTGGGAGCCTGTGAATCTGCTGGATGAATTGTCCTTGGTGGGGCAGGTTCTCTGAGGCTGTGGGTGTAAAACATGTTGCGTTACAGCGTGTCACGCCTCCGGGTCGTCTCCGTGACCTCTTCTCTGCCCAAGTCTGTAACCGCCATTTAATCCCTCCCAGTCCCTGTGGTTGTAAAACACGCTCAAGGACCCACAGTAAAGACCCCCCACCCCACCACACCCCCAAAACACGCGCACACACATACACACACACACGCTGCGTTCTCCTCCACCAGCCTGTGGACTCTGTCGGGCAACACCTCCCGTCCGTCCACACCCCTCCACCTAACGCCCGGGCCTCCAGTAAACGCCCTCAACGACATTTGTGGACCCGCACGATAGGAAATATGAGGCGTTGCACCAAAAAACCAGCCTCGGGCTGGACGCCCGCGCCTCACGCCCGTCCTCTGCCCCCCTAACCGCGGCCCTCTGCTGCCATCTAGCGGCGGAACACCCGACCGACACTCACACGCCAGAGCCCTTTAAAAATAAAAACAAATTTATTCAGCAATCACTGGGAGATAATGCATGACATCTACTGGAGCATTTGTTCCAATAAAAATTGCTAACGTCTTATTTACAAAGTCTGCAATCGAATGTGGACAAGCAGAGCACATGCAAATTGCAAAAGAGTTGGCTATATAATTACACGGGTAACAAAAGCTTATTTTTTTCTCATCTTTCCCCCCCCCCCTGTTTCTGTAGAACGACTTGCAGCCTCCCCGCCTGAGTTCGGCCGTCTTTCGTATCCTCCGACGACCCGACAGCCCCCCCACTTCTGCCCCCACCTGCCCGTGGGTTGCTTCGTCCATGTCTTCTCGGACATCGTGGTGCGTTTGTGTGATTACAAAAACGTGACGGGAGATTGTCGACCAGTTATCTCACACCGGGGATCTTCGCAGCGTTTACACATAAGAGTGGGTTAAAAACAGCCGTCTAATTGGGACAACTTCATTGCCGAAGGCACTTAAAATTTTCTGTAAGGATCTTTGTTTGTTTTTTTTGTTTTATAATCATTATTTGGCCTCTGACAGAACAGCCACTCATAAATCTTCCCGTCCTCTCATGTTTTAGGTCAGGTGTAAACTTGATTTCAAGTCACTTGATGGAGATACTTTCAGGACGCCAGCTAAATAAAACGCAGGCCACGTTGCTGAGAGATTATCGGGAATTTTAAAAAGGCATTTAGCAAAAGCAGCCCTGTTTTTTTTTTGCTTTTTTCTTTTTTTTTGGCAAGTAACTGTTCAAAAAGCTACAATCGCACAATGTCACGTGAAAACCAAATGTTGACAGGCAACGCAGGGGATGCTTGATTGCGGGATCAGAGGAGCTCCATCCATCATCAGACTCCTGGAAAACCATTTAAAAAGATGAAGAAAAAAAAAAATCAAAATGAGAGCAAACCTCCTCTGTGGCGTCTACAGATGCAGGGCAATGTCTGTAATGGCTAACGATAAGGCATGGAGAGTGTGGACGGCAAGTCCACCACTCTGACGCAGTAGTGAGACTCCGGGTGCTTTGGGGGGGTGGTGCTGTACAGGAAGCTACACATCTATGGTGGTGCGCTGGAGGTGGGCGGGTAGAGCCGGATTACTTCACAGAGGCAGTGGAAGGGATGACTGTGGAGGACCCATGACCATGTGTGGGGGGGGGGGGGGTGGGAATGGGGGGGGGCGGGGCTGCCACCAGGTGGAGGTCTTTAGCTTCTCCGTGACTTCGAATGCTGGATGAGCCACTGCAGTGTGATATCTGCAGGATAAAGAGGGGGGGACACACGTTATGACTTTTAGCAGGTTAAAGCACAGTCGTAAAGGTGTCTTCGTTTTATTCTCCGAAAGTCCTCAAAGTTTCAAACTCCCATTCCTGCTCTCTCCTTAATCTGAGTGGTGTTCAGAGGTTAAAGGGGCTGTTAACCAGAATCAGCAGTGTTTAATAAAATTAGCAAGATCCTGGAATCCCTTTGTTATTGTCGATTCTACATTCAGTGTCAATGGCGCAAAGGCCGATCACTAATCAATTAGTGGTTTTCTGTAATGTGGTGAAGTTTGCTGGTTTCATATGTCTAATAAAGAGGAACGGGTCAAGTACTTCAACTCTGGTAGATCAAGCAAATGTTATGCATTCCTTCTCAGTTGGCCTAGTAAAATGAATTGAGGTCAGTGTTTTGAGTCAGTCACGTTTTCAATTCAGACTGAAGACTTTGCATTAATGACAGCGCTGGGAAAGAAAAGCGGAATGTGGAGTTCAGAACTTTGCGGAAATCTAAATCTGACGAGAAAACTGTAATAGGTGCTTCCGTTACTGTAAAAAAAATGTAAGAAAGAAAAAGTGAGTCCGTCTCCCCGTCTGTCGGATATTTACCTATGTTGTCTTTCTCTTTGCATGAGACGGAGTAGCAGCAGATCTCTCGGTCCTGAATGGCGGAAAGGTTCCTGCAAAGAGGTGAAACGGCACAAGAAGAACAGAGGTAAAAACCAAAACAAGTCTGGGGACATGCTGCTGCCACATCAGTCCCCCGTGAGTTCAAGCTTAAAACTGAGCATGCAGTCTTCCACGCTTGTCCTCCAGGGCTGCCGCCGTCCTGCAGGTTTTACAAGAATCCCTGCTTCAGCACACCTGAGTCAGGTCAATGTGCCGGGGGCGGGCTTGTGCAGAGCTTTGTAATAGATCCATATAATCCGAATCAGGCATGTTGAAGCGGGAAAAACTCTTGGACCTGACGGACAGCTGTCCGAGGACTGCAATTCAATGCCACTGATCGACCGGACAACATGCGTTTTGATATAAAGGCAAGTATTCCTCACATTTTTTCAATGAGCTGCTTCTCGTCGAGCGCGTTGGGTAAGTCTCTCTTGTTGCCGAGGACTAGCACCTGACCAAGGAAAAAAAAGAAGGAGAAATAAAAGCAAGTGTTATCCTTGTAGCCCTGTGATCACAGGGGCATCTCTCAGCCACCAGCCGCGCCCTGAGTCCTCACAGCTCAGTGTAAATAAGTGGTGCATGTATGGCCGAGTGTCACAAGAAGAAGGTTATTGATTTAGGCACTTCAGACACAGAAAAAAAAAAACATCTAATCATTAAAAGCAGAACGATAAAATCGTTGCTCAGGGTTTAATGGCCGCCGAGTACAAAGTCAGACAACCAGTTTGACGACTGCTTGAGCCTGGAGTCACTGGACTCCACACCCTGATCAAGTGAATGCTGTAAAACTATAAGCCCCCCCCCCAAAAAAAGGAAATAAAATAAAACTTTAAAAGGCCTCTTACGGGAATTCCTTGTAGTTGTGGTTTTTCTAAAAGGTTGTGCAGTTCGTTTCTGGAAGCTTCGACTTTCTCTCGGTCTGCTGCATCCACCATGTAACTGCACAGGGAGAGATGGGGAGGGGGGTAAAGGGGACTTTAAGGGTCAAACTAAACAAACAAAAGCAGTGGGAGATATCAACCGACAGCTTTTGAAGGGCTCGTTTGATCTACGCCCAAAAAAGGAGGTGGAGCCTATAAATAAATACATAAATAAAAAGAAAAGAAAACAACTCACACAATAGCGTTGACACCTCTACAATATCGCTCCCACATGCTTCTGAAGCGAGGCTGTCCCCCTATGTCCCATATCTGAAAAAGAGAGCAAAAAGTGGAGTCAGAGGAGCAACAAAAACAGTCCACTCATGACACTGCGTCACAGAATAATCAGATACGTGCAGAATTAAACAGATACATCGAAACTGGCTTACCTTTATTGTCACGTTGCCTTTAGTGACCTTCCGCATGTTAAAACCAACTGTGGGGATCATGTCTTCACTGAACTGCCCCGACTGCGTGAGACAAAAGCAGCAGGTTAGCGAACGCCTGACCGGAAAGCCGCGTGAGAGACATTGTCTGAGTTAAGAAATGATTGGATTACAATTTCATTTTGCCCTTTCCCCGCATCAGTCATGATGAGATGATTGCATCAATGCGTCACCATGCTGTCCAGCTCATAAGTATTCTGAATGCTTCAAGGGTTGTTTTTTTTTTTCCTGAACACAGAACTATGGGTGCCCTATTAAGAGGCCAGTAGTGTGCTGTGGGTGTAGGCAGCCTGCTATCAACAAGTGGGACCAAAAATCAATGTATTTGCTGACAGTTCTCAGAAGTCAGTGATTGCAGAGCAAAGACTTTGTATCTCCCCTGGTGATGCTCTCGGGGCCTTTGCTGCAGCCTTTTTCTTTCTCTCGGTCTTCCTTTTAATCTCACGACTAAGTCAGCAGACGCCTCTCAGACTCACAGCTGGAGATAGGAGGAAGGGAAGTGAGTCAGCTCGTCAAAGATACTCAGCCTCTTTCATCTGAAAAGGCTCCTGGGGTCAGCATTCGTCTAAACGATGCTCGCTTTGAGGAGGAACAGAGGCCTCCTGAAAAAGATCACTTCTGCCTCCTATCGCCTGTAAAATGTGGATTTATGTCTTATCCATTGAGCACGTTCAGAAGACTTTAGAAGACATCACTTTTTTGTTACAGCTTTAGCCATGCAGGTCACACCCAGACTGAGCCGAGAGTAAACTTAACTTAAGGGTCGCCTAGGTCATTTTGACTGACCATTTGCAATAACCACCGCTAAACAAGAAGTTGGTTGGAGCCTGGAGCTTACACGGCGCGTCAACAACAACAACAACAAGGTTTAAGTCTTCCCCTCACGCCACAACTGACCAAAGGTTGTGAAAGTCGAAACCGCCAACGTCAAAGCAGCAGCTCCCATGACCGTCTCAGAAGTTAGCTAGCTAAAAGGGCGACAGCGTTTCACAACATACCACAAACACCAGCGCCAAAGGCTACACTAACAACACCTAACTCAACCTAGAACACGACAAATGAGCCATAAAAGAACATTAAACGAAAAAAAATATCAATTTAAATCAGTTACCTGCAAAATGAGACAGCCCTTTTTTACTGCGCCGGAGATTTGTACTACCATGGTAACCCCAATTAAGAAGGATGACGTAGGCCACGCAAACTTGCTTTCAAAACTAACGCTGTCGACATACCGTCTGTGTTGACACCCCTGTGGGTATTGCAAAGCTCGGACAAGTCCATTCACATGACCCGTTTCACAAGCAACCGCAGTCATAAGAAGAACTTCGTCATCCCCAGCTAGCCAAACAACAGCTGTGTGAAGGCATTACGAGCAAACCGAGGCGGCAGCTTTTTCCATCTCCCCAGCCGGCACAGGCCTGTTCCTAAGCTTGGCTATACGTTGTGACGTTTAACTTGTGTCCTAAAACATACATTAAAAAACCCTCCCTTCGTTACTTCTACCAGGTACTAGCCGTGGCCCACACTGACTAGGCGTCGTTGCTAACATTAGCTACTTACAGCAATCACATTGACAAACGTGGTTTTTCCGGAGTACTGAAGCCCCACTAATGTGAGTTCCATCTCCTCCTTCCAGAACAGCGACCGGAACCAGTCCAACAGTCTGTTTATGAGGGCCAGCATCTTGGATTAGGCAGAAGTCACAGTCCCAGTGGCCGTCTGAATGGGAGCTGGCTAGCAGTCTGCACACACAGGAAGCCGCTAGCTGCTTTGTCATGTCATGTGATCTGCTGTCAAGCGCCGCTTGTTTTTTTTTCCTTCTGCCAACCACAGCGGCTGCTTCTTCTTCGTTGGAATTTTAATGGTAGCTTGCATCAAAAATCTCCCACTGCTACCAGCTTCTGGTACTAGGTAGGCCATAGGCCCATCCCTTGCGTTTAAAATCACAGACCCACCTTGGTCTGAAAAATTCCATCACCATTTTGAAAGTATTTAAAAGTCCCTCTGTGAGGGGTTAATCACGTAAGCACAGTGTGTTGAAAAACTGTATGAGAGATGCTTTAAAAAAGAATAGATTCTGTACAAAAAGGTTGTTGTTAGGCCTAGGCGGTTTTTTTGTTTGTTTTTACAGATACAGAAACAGATACAACTATTGTCCTATTCTCTGGAATCTTCTCTGGCTGGAATTGGTTCACAGGATGGCAAGTGATTTGGGGGTCAGGACCAGGAATGGTACGCCACAGGATATTTGTGGTCTTACGGCATCATAAATTAAAAGATGTGTCACCCTTGTATCATTCATACCCCTAGATTATTTGAATCCCAGGAATTTGTCTGAAGGTGTACTGTACTTTACAGTGTGTATTGACATGTCAAACCCTGAATCACAAAACAAAGCACAATTTAAAAATTTTAACAAATTATTTTAATCATGTTTTTTGTATGAAAACAGCATTCTTGATAATCAACAAAGATGAACCACATGGTCAAGGGAACAACGTAGGCTCAGTGGTAAGGCATTACAAGACAGTACAGTTTCATTCACAAGTGCTACTTAAACTCCATTTTCCATACCACCACAAAATCTGCATGTTTTTACATCCACGCTCTCACTTCTCAGCATCTGCCAACTGATTTTCATTTCCCAACCTAAATCATTCAAAACGTTGCAGAAGGTAGTTAAGTTTTGGCACCACTGGAGAAAAATTCATCGTCTTCCTCTCTGCTCTCATATCGGAAAATACCATCTTTTTTCATCAGATAAGGCAAGTTTTATGAAAAGCAAAAGAGGTTCCTGTTGCGTTATGGACTTAAGCAGCTGACACTCACAAAGAGGAACAGCGCTTAATTTTTGCTGTTAGCAGTTTATTTTTACAGGCTCTTTTTCTCTGCTCAAACTACACCACAGAGGAGAAGCTACTGGATTATGGCTGTATTCTCCCCTTAATGCGCCTTTTCCAAGTTCCTCTATACGAGGCATTGCGACCATAAAAATAATTATTGCAATCTCATCAGTTTTCTAATTGCACAGGATCCCGCCAGCGGCAGCCTGCCCTCATTTGGAGACGACACACTCCTTAAAAGACATCAGAGGGGTGTGAGAGAATTATTTCCTTTGGAGTGACGACAACAACATGCTTATTATTAAAGAATGTCTGCAAATCCAATGTCATTACCTGCGATCTGACAACCGTTGTGTATTTTTCAGGGGATGCCGCACTCATCAGCGTTGTATAAATGGTAATTCTGGGAGGTTTTCAAGACAGAAGACAAAGAATCACATCATATCTGATGAAATTTCTTTAAATGTTGATGGCATAACAAGAAATTGGTGCATTATTATACTGATTTTTTTAAAGACAGAAACAAATGACGTGTTATTTTGACATTCAGCTAGTAACCGAGAGCCTACAGATGAGATTTAACACAGGGTCTTTGCTAAGTTTCAATTCCACTTTTGAGTTTTATGACTCTTTGTTTTAGCCTGACTTCCTACTTTCATCTATGTTCTCTATTCTAGTTTCGTTCATGTTATCTATTTAAGCCACAGTTTCCTTGAATCTTGGGTTTTTCTGTCAAATCAGGGTTCCATTTAGAGATTTTGAAACCAGCTTCTTGTTATTTCCTCCCTATCTCTATTTATACACTAGTTTCTCCTTTCTTCAGTGCCAGATTCCGGTCAGCGTTGCTATCCTTTGTCAAGTTTTCTTCAAAGTTTGGATCTGTTTAACAAGCTAAGCTCTTTTAGCTTGCTTTGAACTAAAGTGGATTATTTCTACCACCCGCCTGCACGCTGGGTGGAGCCTCCAATTTGGATCCCGCAGTATAAGGATTGGGCAGCGAATGAAAATAAAGCAGCCAGTTTCTCCGAAAGACCCCCAGAGAGCTGGAGAACCGAAAAAACGATTTAAAAGACTGCGAAATAGCCTGGTTGATTGGGAGGTAACTCTACAGAGAAAAAGGTGGCCGTGCAAACTGCTCTGCGCTGAAGCGCGACCGCCAACAAAGGCCTGCTGAGAGTTTGACCCAGGGAGGACGAGGGGAAGTTGCACAAACAAGCGTCTCATCTCGGCAACGTAAGCAGCCATGTGATTTGTTTAAACAAAATCCAGAGAACAAAGAGCTTCCTTCTTACCCGTTACACACTGGAGGGAGGGACAAAACCTGCAGGACAAGGCGCCGTTAGAAATCCACTTTCACACCCCGTTATCTGTGACTTCCACGAATATGCGGCCTCTCTCTGTTTTTTGGACGCTCGTGTTCGCACTTGCCTGATAAAGCGTGTCCATATTGATGTGTTCTTGACCAGTGGCGTTTAGCGCCTTGATAGCGGCCTCCCTGTGAAATAAACACATAACGGCCGCAGTTACAGCAGCAACGTGATGTCAGAGAGAGGGGATCCTCGTGTCAGGTGACCCACCTTCGGTGATCTCCCCGTCTAGGAGGAAGCCAGTGGTCGTAGTTTGTCTCCACTCTGAACCACCTAACGCACACAGAGGCAAACCGTTTCATGTTTTCTGTTTAGTCGAGACACACATACACACCCCTGTTTTTTCTTACCCCCCATTAAGGGGATCCAGTGGCCAGATGTCCACGGGGCCGGTTCGATCTCTGGTGATGATGACCCCTTCTCCTGCTCGCACCCCGCCCACGATGTAATACACCCCCGTGATGAGAGGGGTTTTCGACAGGCGCATCACAGCATCCTGAAAGTCCTCCGCTTCCTCCAGCGTCTGCAACAACATTTTTCTCTTCCCCATCACTGTTCATTCCATCACGCTGATGGAAAAAAAAGAAAAAAAAGAAGAAGTAAAGAAACTCACCTCCCGCACCAGCCAGCTGACCGGAGACCTGTGTAACAGAGCGGCGGACACCACGTTCTTCCACCAGTTCCACCAGTGCTCCGTTCCTGGTGAGGCCAAAGCAAACATGAATCCGCCCGGGGAGCCAATAAAACGCTACGCTTTAAAGCCGTGACGGCTCTAACCTCGCTGGTCGCCAGAGACTGTGAACTTTCCCGGACTCTGCCCCGTCCAGATACCCACGTAGCCAGCAAATGAAGTTCCACGATACGCCGCCTGAAGAGGGTGTGAAAACAAGGAGGAAATTGCACTCTTAATGTAAAAACACACAAAAAACACAACTCTTTGTTGATTCAAACTGTACTGAGTCATCAACATATAAGAATTGATAAAAATGAGAAGTCATTAGGGAAGTTTAGAACCACGGTCAGACTGCTAGCTGTGGTTTAGCCCCCAGGATGGGTGTGCACATCCTCAAATGTTTCCCAGCTAGCAGTCTGATTAAAGCTAAAGAAGCTGCTTGCAAATTTTCAATGAATCCAAATGAACACAGTTCATTTCATAAACACTTCACACTTCACTTCAGTTAAAGAAAGCTACAAACAAGTTCTGACCTTTCCATTTTTGAAGAAAACAATGTCAACCGTCAGATTCTTCAAAACATCATGCGGATAGTCCAGATTCCGGCCGTGGTACACGTTCCCGTTGTTGTCCTGAGCTACAATGCTCGTGCAAAATCTGCGGATGAAATAAAACTGCCATGAAAACGGCACGCACGACATACTTTGTGGGCCCAAATGTCGGTTTTGAATGTTTCCGTACGCAGTCACTTCATAGGCAAAGTTGAGAATGACAATGTCGGACAGGTTTCCTCCCATGAAAGAGGCCATGCCGCGGATCTCCTCCGCGTACGGCTGTGGGATGTACTTTTCCAGGGCACTGACGATTGGTTTGACTGCGTGATGAACCCATTTTGGAACTGTAGAGCTGGAAAACAGAAAGAGAATGAAGGAGAAATTAGCGGATGAATTTGCCCAATATTCCCAGCCCCATGTAACATGTAATAAACCAGTCCTACAGGGAATAAAAGTCTGTTACCGTTAAAAAAATACAAGTAACCGAGGACCGAGAATTGGGAGATTTCTGGGCCAGTTAAAGAAAGCCACAAACAAGTTCTGACCTTGATTGATGGTTTGTGAAACCAGTTTTGTGTTGGGCACATTTTTTGTGTTGACAATTGACAAGCAAAGACATGTACAGTAGCTAAACATTAGGCACTTAAGTTAAATAACTGCATTTAGTTAAGAAAAATAGCATGTAGAGGAATAAGAGCTTACACTTCATGCCAATTACTTTTATGATATTCAGTTTGCCAAACTACCAACCTGATAATACACTGAGATGTTCGTTGTAATGTCGTTATATTCAAGTAGAATTAGCTTTTAGACTTATTCTTTTTAAAGCAATGCAACATTGATAGTCAATCAGGAGAGGGTTAGGCTGTAAACATGAGGTTAATGACATGTAATAAGCAAAGAAGCTCAATTAGTATAAATTTTGTAATATATTTGTCATTACAGTCCCTACACACTTTACTCAAAGTGTAGGGACACAAACCCAAAGTAAAACTTATCAGCAATAATTTAACAAGTTAGCATCCTCACATATTTCTCCTATCGGTTTGCTTACGGTTTAAAACTCCTACTTGTGACAAACAGTCGAGTTTTCTGAGACCAAACGTGAAAATAAATGATTAACCGGGGCATAACAAAACTTACTCAATGACTTCTGCCGCAGCTTTATTTAAGTAGTCGACGTCAAAGACTTGGAGAAGAGGCTTCCATCTCGTTGCCGGGTCCTCGTCCAGGCTGATGTTCACCGTGGGGGGCGGACGCTGAGCCCGGCACGAGGCTGCCAGCGCGAGCACCAGCACCACTGTCCACACCATAGTGACCACTCCGCTCCGAAGCGGACACAGAACCAAGGTCCCTTCGCGCGAGCGTAATACAGGGAAAAACTTCACGGCCACTTCCGCAAGTGCGTTGATTTTTCAAAATAAAAGAAAATCTGTTGTGTTCATTTTACATAAGATATACGGTTTCGTTTCCCTTTTTGCTGCCAACGCTTTGAATGTAAGTGGCTAACAACTTGTAGTTCTGCAAACACTAAAGGATACACATAATCTTGGCCATTTCTTGATAATATCGGAGAAATTTCCTATTTTCGTAGTGGCGTGCTTTTACTTTGAACAAAATTGGATCGCAACCTGGAAGGCTTCCGGCGGTGGATTTCGCTTGAGAGATTGGGCTTGCCTTAATTGTCTCACCGCCAACTTTGAAGAAGCTAAAAGATTATTTCAACCATATAATATAACAAAATATCAATTTAAACTGTAGCTATTTTTTTATTTAAAACTTCAAGAATTTTGAAACCGAGTTTAGTGGTATATGCATGAAGAGAAATAATTAAAAGTGTATTCTTAATTCTTCTCACTCAATTTACAGAAGCCCAATGAAAGCGGAATCTTTAACCCAATAAAATGATCGATCATAGACTGATCATGTGTCTATCTCGGTGTTATTTGAGGCAGGATGAGTGCACTTTCCTCTTCCTCATTCTTGCAGAACAGAGCGGAAAGAAAACAAAAGCTTTAAATCTGGGTTTATGCCCTTTAACCCATAAGCACCAAGAGCGATACAGGTGTACCAAACAAAAGAAAATAAATTATTTTGTTTGGTACACCAATTTTTTTTTCTGGTGGCAACTGAACGTTATTGTTTTTTTATGTGATTTGTTGTGCTCTAATAGGTTAAAATGGAGAGAAATATTATTTTTCACAGGAATTTGTCCATTGCTTTTCCAAATATTTATCAGTGATGTTTATCAGGATAAGATAGCAAATAAGGATAAACTAAATCCCCATATATCAGCACATATTAGAGAAACAGATATATAGTTAGGCCAATCTAGTAAAAGGAAATTGTTTTGATATTTGTTTGAATATATTTGTTATATTATCACCTAAAAAAGAAAAAACATTTCAATTTGAATCATATGTGTGTGCATCTCCAGCCTAATTATGATACAGGGCTAAAGTTTTCCACCACTTGTAACTCTCACTTTACACGAGTGAAAACAACAGAAAAAAGGGGAAGCAAAACTTAAATGAAGACCTGAAACACACTGAGATTGTTTGGAAAATTCTATGTGGCTTTGCACCGACAAAAAAAGACACCCGTTGCCACTTCAGCAATCCAACAACGAACCACCCAGGAACACGCTTTCTCTTTAAAGTGAGAACAGAACAAGTTTTGCATTGACAGAATGGGACTGACTGTGCACAGACTCTTTAATTTACCAGTATGTGGGTCTCATCTCCCAAAAGCAGCAGTGTTAACCGGATGTACCTGCAGGCCTCTTCCACAAGATGGCGCTGGTGCTGTATTATTTCATCTGATCTGCTCTGTTTGGTGGGCCGGTGCAGAGGTGCTTTGGGGGCATCTGATTTAGTTAATTTTTTTGTACAAATCTGAGCTGTTGCTAAAAACAAGAGGAGAGATGCTAAAATAAAAATAAAAAGTTAAATAAGTGCTTGGGGGGGCATTGCTGTGGCCCGGGAAAAGTGAGGGCCGACAGAGAATCTGTATTCCATATCATTTAAATACGAAAGTACATCAAAAGGCCGGGCCCTTTCTCCCTGAAACCCACTTCCCCCGCACGTCTGATTAGAATGATCCGGGCCCTCGATTGTCACGCCTCGGACGTAAATGTAAGATGATTCAGTTATTTTTGTGCCTTCCACTTCAAAAGCCCCTCTCCGGGGGATTGTGTGTACGGGGGGGAGATGAGGAAACGCTTCCTGTTTGCCGTCACTCCCAAGTTGCTCTATTAAAGAAATGAAACCGTTTAGTCTGCTTTGCAACCTCGCTGAGATCTCCCTTTGGATGGTTGGCGGCCTGTAATCCAAGACGCGCTATTGATTTACAGAGCCTGTGCAGCTTTAGGGGTTATGTAAGTGTTATGCAAGTGTGTGCCGTCATGAGGGTTTGTCAGGTTTGGCTGGTGGCTACGACACGTTCCAGTCAGACACATACACACTCCACTGGGGGGGGTGGGGGGAAAGAGTTTTTATTAATACTTTAAAATATATCAATAACACTTTATATACAAAATATGTACAACCTTTTTGAGTTACGTCTTAAAATAAAAATCCAGAGTACCTCGTTCTGTACAAAAAAAAACTTATCAGATTCTTCTTCAGGCTTTACATTCACGCTGGTAGCAGAGACGCGGTTCACGGAGGGTTCTGCCAGACTCCCGCCCGAAAACGGTCAAGGGGGCGGTGTGAGTGGACACCAGGCCGTACCTTGACCGGGCTGCCTCGTCCTTCCTCTGGCAGCTGAGCAAACTCTGCGGACGGGCTTTTTTAAAAAAGCGTGGCCACGGCAGCGCCCTCAATTCTGTGGCCCTCCTCGAAATCGTTTGGCTACCGGGGGGAAGGTGGAGAGGCGAGCAAAGTCCATCGGGATCTGTGTGTGTGACCCCGCCTGAGACGGAGCCGTTTGTTTTTTTGGTTACATTCTAGTCTAAATAGGGGAGCGACGACCCTGGCTTTGGAGGTCCACAGCGGGCGACAGCTCGAGCCGCTTTCAATCTTTACATTCATTACAGAGTGGTAGGTCCACATCGTTCGGGAGGGAGAGACTTTACATTCTAGGTTTGACTCTCGCGTCCAAATTCGAGTGCGGAGAGGAGCAACGAAACGACAAAAACAAACAAAAAAAAATAAAGAAGGAAAACAGCCCTGGCCGTGTCCCCTGTGCTGTTGGAGCTCACAGTCTTTGCTGTACGTCAGAGCCAAACTACCGGTGGGTTGTTAGCATCCAACTGGACACGGTGCTGCCAGCAAAGTCCCACGTCAGGTGGCGGTCAGGAGACGGTCAGGAGACGGTGGGACGCTCTGCTCTGGGGTCAGCGTGCCGGCGGGCTGAGCGCTCCGTCCTACATTCACATGGCTGGATTCACGCAGGAGCTGGTCCGGCTCAGTCTTTGGCTTCCAGGTTGAGGGGGGGGGTGTGCTTTGAGGCTTTGTGGAGGGCGGGGGAGTCCTGGCGGGGGACCGGGGACCCCGCCCGCGGGGACATCAGGGAGGAGCCCTGCGGGTACATGACCGGCATGCCCCCCGGGTACCAGCACTTTTCCAGCATGGGCAGGTAGGCGGCGGCCGCCGCCGCGGCGTTCGGGGGGAGGACGTAGAAGGGGAGGCAAAACGGCGTCTGTCCGGGGGAGGAGAAGTTGACGTAGCTGCCGGGGGCTCCGGCCGGATGGACGCAGAGGAGCTCGTCCTCCGGGGACTCGGACCTCTGCCTCTTGGCCGGGGGCTCGTTTGCCTCCTGCTTGATGGCGCCGGGCGCCGGCTTCTTGAGCTCGCCTTCCCTCCGGTGGCTGAGTGACCACTGCGTTTTGGGCTTCTCGTGCTCGCCGCCGTAGCCGCTGTCGGTGTCCGTGTCGCTGCCGCTCTGCTCCCCCGGCCCCTGCTGGTCAGTCCTCTGGATGACGGGGACGCAGTTCTTGGCGGGGGCCTCGGGGGTCCGGGCCGGCTGCCTGGCGGGCTTGCTGGCTCTGTCCGGCGCCCGGGGCGAGGCCGCGTCCGGCCGCGGGTCGCCCCGCTGCTGCAGGACCTCGGCGGCCACCTTCTGGATGTGGCCCAGGACGTGGGAGGGGGTCAGGTCCCGGCCGGACTCCTGGCTGGCCAGGTAGTGGAGGACCTCTTTGGCGCAGAGGTGGAAGCCCGAGCGGAACATTTCCTCGCCGGCCTCCGCGCCGTCTCCTCCGTTATCGCCTGAAAAGGAAGCGAACCCGACATTAAATCCCGTTTCCTGGAGTCAGATCTGACACCCGCTCCGGCCAAACCGGAGCCACACCCCTTTTTTTTTTCTCTCTCTAAAAGCTTACCGATCTGCAGGTCCTTCTGCAGCGCCAGGATTTTCTGCTGCTGCTGCTCCAGCAGAGCGCTCAGGGTCTTCACGTGCTTGAGCGTGAGCTCCAGCACCACGGCTTTCTCCAGATGACCCAGCGTCTAAAAACAGGAAGACCTTCGATAAGCGCGCTGAACTTAGTTATGCAACACATTCTGCAGCTCAAAAAACAGGGCCGGCGGCCAACAGCCGGGAAGCAACGCCAACCGAGTAAACAAATATTTTTCAAATTCTGCCCAGAAATAAAAAAAAAGACTAGATCACTCATATTAGACAAAAATCAGATTTTGGTCATATTGTGTAGAAATAGAGAATCTATGCTCGTGCACTGCCAGTTCTTCAGAGTTGGAACTAAATCCAAAGTTGGGAGCAAACACAGGTCTCAGTTTCCCCCGGGTGTAAGCAGACCCCCCACCCAGAGGCTGCACTCACCGTGAGCTTCAGATGTTCTGGCAGCAGGTCCTTCAGCTGGGCGATGCATTCGTTGATCCTGTCACGCCTTTTCTTCTCGATCAGTCGGTGCGGCAGCTTGTAAGTCTCCTGGAGAGGGGAGGAAAAAACTGGTTCGTTACTTTATTCTGTTTTTGGGGCTTTTTTCAAAACTGTTTTTAAAAACATTCTAAATTTACCTTGCACTCGTGCCCGCTCTTCATGCCCCTCCTCGGTTTGCACACATAAATGGGAAAATCCAGTCTTTGGAGAGAAGATTCAAACGAGTTTTGTTTAGAGTTCAGTTAAAAAAAAAGTGCAGAATAAACACAGTCGGATATAAAAGTGGGAATAAAAACTTTCTATTTACCCGTGCATGTCAGCTATATCCACTGATGCGTGTTTTGGCACATAAGGAGGCGGTTGCGCACTTGTAATCCTCTCCATGTTGATTTAAGAATAAACACACAAACTCACTAAAAGAAATAGAAAAAAATAAGAAGAAAAAAGAAACCAAGAAAATTTGTTTCTGGGGTAGAAAAAAATCCTAAAAAGGCTCCAAAAGCGTCTCTGTCCTCGCAATGAAAAATGTGAGAAATAATTCAAATAAATGGCTCTTCTGCTCGGTGGCGTTTTCCGTCGGGCTTCTGCGTAGAAGCGGAGCTGTTGTCACCCTGAGGTCCGGACTCGGTAGTAGGGCTTGCGGAGCCTCCACGCCCTATACAATGTGTGAGAGCTGGCTGGGTGGGTTCCTGACTACGTGTTAAATAAACCCTGTGACCGTAGGCACGTCTCTCTCTATGCCGGAGAGAAGCGGGCTCCGTCACATGAGGCTCACGTGTTGGACGGTGCTTTCAACTCCCCGCCCGCCCGCGCGAGCGCACGCGCGTGCGCCCACACCCCTCTCCCGCCCTCCCTCCGCGGCTGAAGCACCACCCATTCCTGTAGTACTCCACCGCCGGGGCCCGAGTCCCGTGTACCGTCACGCTCCGGCTCGCGAGGCTGAGCTAAAGCAGACCGTGTTTACGGAGATAGAATGTAGAACAGCAGAACCCCCCCCCCCTTACTCAGTCGTGCTGAGGCTAAAGTTCGTATCTTGACGGCGAATACGGCCGTTTTTGGGCCACGGTGTGAACATTCGGGAATTCTCCGCGTGCGCTACAAAAACAAACAAAACAACACACATTAGCTTAAAGTGGAAGCCCCGAGAAAATTTTAAAGTTATCAAGTCACAATAACCGTAATTATGCGGTGTGTTGAAAAGACTAGAACTACTTTTTTTTCCTTTTTAAAAAATGGTTAATAACAAAAGCACACGAAAGTTTGATGCATTATTTCCTCTTTTTTTTAAAATTAAAAATATATTAAACCGACGGTGATATCGAGTGGAATAAGTCGTAACTTCGACGCGTTGAGTTTTAATTTGAGCTAACAGCTCATTTATTTATTTACTATTGTCTGTATTCCATGGCCTGCCAAGTGTCACGAGACCAAAGGGGTGGGGGGGGGGGGGGGG